TGTGTGTGTGTGTGTGTGTGTGTGTGTGTGTGTGTGTGTGTGTGTGTTTTCCTCTCTATTGGTCAAGTCCCTCCCTTCCTTCCAAACTGTTTAAGTCACTTATGGCATGAAACCTTCCCTGCCTAGCACCTTTTTGGTGGATGTATTCCTTAAAAATACACCCTAATATCCTCTTAGCACTTAGGTTTCTAATACCATACAATAGTGTGGGAATCTAGAATCAAAGAATGTTAAAAGGATCAAAGGATCCTTGGGAATCATTCAGTCCAACATCCTGCTGCATGGGAGGGGGTGGGGGTGGAAGGGGGATGATTAAGAGTTCTATTTTGTTTTGTTGTGTTTTTAATGAATGTTATAAATTGTCTTTACATGTAACTGGGGAAAAATAAAATATTATTGAAGGTTAGAGAGAGAGAGAAAGAGAGAGTCATAATAGCCACTAGAACTAAAAAAAAAAAAAATTCTATTTTGAACATGCTGAGATTTAGGTGATAGTAGCAGGCCACCTATGTGGGAATATTTAACAACTAGCATTTGGTCAGGGCTGAAAATAGAGATTTGTGAGTCATTTATATAGAGGTGCTAGTTGGGAATGAGATTTCTAATTAATAAAAGAGAGATCCAGAGAGCAGAGAACCAAACATTGGGGAATACTTACTATGGAGGGGAGGAGAGGAAAAGGATCCTGCAGAAGAGACAGAGGAGAAGCCATCGGAGAATTAGGAGCAGAACCAGGATAGTGTAGCGCCAGAGAAGCCGAGGGAAGAGAGTTTCAAAGTGAAAGATTACCAAATTCAAATGGTGCCTAGAGTTATAGCTGGAAGGGAACTTAGAAGTAGTCCAGTCCAATACCCCCATTTTACAGATGAGGAAGCTTAGGTGAAGTGACTTGTTTGATCACATGCTAGATTTTAATTCCAGCTTTGTCATTTGCTACATCTGGGACTGAAGTCAAGTTATTTTATTTTTCTAAGTTTCAAATTCCTCATCTGTGAAATAAGAGGGGCAAGGGAGAAAGGGGGGAGGGGGAGTTTAGACTGTATGACATCTAAGGTGCCTTCAAGTTCTAAATCTACGATCCTAATATGAAAGCCAAGATACAAACGTTGGTCCTCTGATCATAAACCCAGGTCTTTTTTCCCATTGTGCCACAGTTCTATAAGCTCTCTTCCCCATGATATGCAATATGTTTCCCTTCTTCAAGAATTCTTATTCCTGTTCTGTGGAAGTTCACAGAAACTAAGGCCTCCTTTATGTTATAAGATTGGTGTTGAAAGAGCGGTAGGTTTAAAGGTGTCTTTGATCTACTAAGAGGCCTGTACTGCCGATGAGGTATTTCTAAGGGTGTGTCCAGCATTGTTCCCTGAGCTTTAAATATTATCCAGGTTTTTCCTTAGATTGTGTTCACATTACTGTTACTCCTTTTTTTTTTTGTTAACTGTTATAAAACCATATCTGAAAATGGTACATGTTTGTCTTTCTTTGTTGAGGAATTTCATGTTTTGTTTTCTGATTACTATAAATGTGAGTTAGAAATTACTTAGAGTACATAGCTAGTAGGACCAATCTTTATAAACAATTTATTGTAAAATTTATCATAAAATTGTTAAGGTATCTTTGACACAATTTAGCGAATGCAGAGTTAAATTTGTTTTCTTCCACAATTGAAAACAAATTACAATTTATTTAGCCATTATCCAATCATTGGTC